CACACTATATCTAGAAGAATCACGAGATTTAAGGAAAAGACGTGAATGTTCGAGAATGACGTAGCGTGATACTAGTCACGTGACCTCTATGTCGTAACAATACTTTATAATATTAATAATAATTCAATAATTCTTGTACAAATATCAAAGATGTTTGGTCCGATTGTTAGTATGGTTAGAAAACTAGCTTAGTAAACTTTTACGAAAATTAATAAGGAAATATGATTGGCTATTATGACCTATTATAAGAAAATCTCCAAAGCATCTTCATCTAAATGCGCGTGAGTTGTTGAGACCGAAAGGTGGATATTAAAGTTAAGACGCTCCTGTGTTTAGATTTAACCAGAAATACAGGCTATCATCAGATATGTTATGCAAGTTTAGTCAGTTTTTTCGATTTTGCTTCTGTAAACTTATTAATTTTTATTCTTTAAACAATACACGCCATTTAGTACTACTAATCACAACAAAACAATGTATAAATATTACACAAACAGTGAAGGTTGGGTGACACACATGATATGAAAATTAGAGATGGTTCTAATGTAATAGTAGATACTGGAACTTGAGGTTGCAGTGTCTTCTGTGTGTATTTTTAGTTATTCAGATGTATTTCAATGAATTTTACGACACAAAAAGAACAAAAAAATTTATCTTTAAATTTATAAATAATATATATGCTGAACAATGAATTGTAAGCAGCTCTTTAATAAAAATACATTTTAAGATATGTTGAGAAATCATCAAACTTACCTTCACACTCAAACACTTTTTAAGTCTTATATTTTTGAAGTTACTAAACTTATGCTAAATAATGTATTATTCAAACATTATTTTCACACTTCATGTGCTTGTTGTTGATCATGTTCGACAAAACTTTCATTACAAAATTTTTCTACTTGTCGTGGCCTTGGGTTCAACTGGTTAGAACCGGATCTTTTACTGATTCAAATCTCTCTCTCTCTCTCTCTCTTGTTTTGTGACCTTAAGTCTCGTGACTGCAGTTGGCAAACATCCAAATAAAGATAATATTATCATTCTATTTCCGAATGTGTAATTTATATAGTTATTAAAGATTAGTCAGATCATTTAATTTCGCCTGAATAGGAATTTAATTACCGTATTTTAACAAAAGTGGCATGCAGCCCAATTAACGTTATAAGGTACTTGTCCAGTTACGGTGGTCCAAAATAATGTATCACACTAACGACTTCCATTATATTATATAATAGGGATATAATATATAAATTAAATTACCAATTACATCTTCTCTCCTTATCTACATACAGTTACACCTTGAAAAGTATTTGCTGTTTCACTTGATTCTCATATGTCCTAGCTTACACTAACTCGAACACGATTCCTGGTATAGTAAGATTGCGTAACCACTAATTTCTTTATACGAATAACCAGTTCCAACTGGATTAACCAAAGTTCATCGCCCACCACCCTCACATGGCTGGGGTCGAAAATCACAGATATGAAAGGTTCGCAATACATATTTGATTATATAAATATTACAACAATTCATTATGTCTTGCTAATACACTTTTATTCTCATAAATGAACATGATTCACAGGTCTATGATTGCATGCTTTTTTTAATTAAATGAACTCCAAAAAAGAAGTTTGGAGACTATTGGTTAATGCTTATTTCTTTACACTTGTTTTATTAAAGAAAAAAAATAAGACTATTAAAGAGAAACAAATATTTTAAACATTATTAATAGACCCCAACTCATTTTCATGTCGTTAACAGTTACTTATTTTTTATATGATTTTGTGTGCAGTTTATAGGTCTCCTGATATTGCTTGCGAGATTATTTGCTATTCAAAGCGCCCTCCCCCCCAGTGGCACAGCGGTATGTCTGCGGACTTACAACGCTAGAAACCGGGTTTCGATACCCGTGGTGGGCAGAGCCCAGTGTGTAGCTTTGTGCTTAATTCCAAACAAACAAACAAAGCTATTCGAAGCTAATTTTCAGTTTCTGCTCTATGAAGAAAAGTGACATTCCTATCTCGAACAGCTGCATTACAATCGACTGTGACTTGATAGCATACACGTGCAACAACATTTCCTTGTTAAATTCTCGAGGTGTTCAGAGATGTACTCTCAGATGTAGTTGTGCTTCAAATTAATATTGACTTCCTATCAGAGTAAGCTACTACTTAGAACGAAACTAAAAATCAACCTGGAAATCAATATGGTTAATTAAATATACGTTTTTACTTGTAAAGTTTAGAATGCTTTATTTCACCCGGTAGGTCCTCTCGCTGTTAGCGATACTTTCAGCTGTAATGCCGAAGAATGCATCTCTGAACACTCGAAAATCGACAATAAATAACCCGCATGTGTGCTACCATTGTCACGGGGTAATGTAATGTAGCAATTCTAGCTAGTAACTAGGGGGAAGGCAACTAGTCAACGCCACCCACTGCCAAATCTGGGGCTACTCTTGTCTGATCTAATAGTAGGATTTGACTATCTCTCTTATAACCCAAAGTGCGGAGCGCGAATTTTGTCTTGGCGACAAGGGGGTGCTAGTAATGGAAACTCATCTCCACAGCCCGATCGTTAATCATAGGGCTGCTGCGTTCGGCCCGCGCATCAGAAGTTTCATAATACAGTACTACAGGAGATTAATCTCCATAAGTTACACATAGAATACCAGAAACAGTCTTACTCAAATACAAAGAAACGTTTTACTACATCCATACTTCCCTATCAGAAAGATATATTGATCATGTCGGACGCTTTTACTTTAAAAATTATAGCTATAATTTTATTAAAACAATGACTTAATCTAACATCTCAATCTAAGCACTAAGTCACAATGTTGACTTTCATAACAATTTCAAATACACATCTTACAGATTTTTGATATATTTGGATTTATAAAGTTGAAGAAACGTAAAGAAAAAAAAAAGAATTAATAAAATTATGTTACCAAGTTCCTATAAGAACTTTTACCATTCAAAACAAAGTTAAGTTATAATAATATCACATAAGCGAACATAAAATTAATTAGAATTCAAGCAGGATATAATAAAAAAGTCAAAACATTTCATGTGACTATAAACAGAGACTCGCCTTATTAAAGTTATTTAGCAAAAAGAAACTTCTGGGGAAACTTCGAAAAACAAACAAGGAAGCTAAAACAAAAGTGCTTGGTAATAATCGTTATAAGTTTACGGTTCGATTAACTAAAAATACAACTACTCCTACATGGCCTACGTTTTAAAATATAACTTACTTTTTTAAGTTCTCTAATGCTATCAACGGTTTTGAAATTCGACTGCAATCTGCTTGTCATGAAATCACTTTATATTTTGGTTTTCATATACACCAGTTTTTCTGCCAAATTTATAACTATTTAAGTATTTTCTGATTAAAAGCTTGATTACAGTTGATCGTATTTGCTAGTGAGAAGACTGAATACTGATAAAATATTGTTTTACTTAATATCTATGAGGTTTTGAGTTCGTTTTACTTCACCATATTGTAACCTAAATTAATTTAGGTGTGTGAATAATGTTATTAATACATATATATGTTATACTTTATGTTACTTCTTAAGTTCTTTTCATGTACAAGCTTTAGGCTTGTATTATATGATTCTATGCAGCAACTATCTTCAGCGAGTAGGATTATCTTCGCATGTATATTTTATGTCTTCACATGTTTCACTAATGTTTTAATACACTTTGTAAACCTGAGATTTATATTGCATTTCTTTTTTAATCAAGAAATTTACATATATTTCTTAAGTGCTTTACAACTGAAAAGTGAAATATAGACAACATACCCGAGTTGAGCTTCGTTGCTTATATTTCGATACGTCCCTTGGGAAGAAAGTGGGTATATAAGATACCGGTGTAACGACGAGCTGGAACAGTCCTTCAAAATACGACCCAAACACAATCGCAACATACTCTTTAATTTTTAAGATTTTTCAAAGCATATCAGTGAATATAATTTTCTACTTACTGTATTATGCTTAACTTTACTAAAAGATAGATCTCTTGACTGTAATTAGCCCCTACGTTGCAAGCTCCACAGTAAACACACACATCGCATGGTTTAAGCTCCGCCTTTGGTCGAGTCCATCTTAAGGTAAATAATGGTACCAAAAAATAATTCCGCAATTAGCAGCAACAATGGGATTTGATCGTACAGATAAACTGTATTTGCAAAGTTGAGACTAGGTAAAAAAAATGATCAAATTTAGTGTATCTAACTTCTTTTAAATAACTAAAAAAGGTATTCATAATATTAGTTCTTACCTATTCCTGAAAATGGGAATATTTAATCACATGACAATTGCTGCCTGCTCTAGTATAAATACCGTGCAGCTTCAACTATCGCTCTCGTCAATGTCAACAGAAGAAGTATCTAGTTGAGACATCGACAACCAATAGAAGAACAGGAAGAAACGAAAGGACTCCAAAAATTTTACGTAATGGGATCTGCTCAAGATAACAAAGTAAGATATCGTCAATGTTCATTGCAAACTTATTTCGTAATCTACGAGAATTAATGTGGAGGAAAACAATGATTTTAACAGATCGCAGAGCTTAGAAAATTGAATTTTAGTTAAGCTTATAAAAATTGAGGATATTTACTGTCAAAACTAAGGACTATTAGTATTATAAAATTACGTATAATCGTATATTTACTATATTTGTTTTAACTTTAAGCATATTTCACGATTAAGAGTTGGAACATCAGTATTGTCAGAATAGCAACATGTAATAACAATTCATTTATACGTTTGCAGCTTTTATTGTAGCGCTAATATAAACTTAATTGTAATTTTTCGTTACTGATACTACAATGTGCGCGAGTGTGTTCCAGGAAAAGGAATCCCTACAGTATTGCTTCCAAGTTTGAAGAAGGGGAAATATGTATTAAGTTTGCAAATCGTCTGGAGAAAAATTATAATACTCTTGTAATATTTAGGTTTAAGCATAACTGCACTATAGGAGAGATAGTGTGGTTAACATATTATACAGTCTTTACTTTCACTGTGGAGTTCTTACCAATAATACCAGGAACAAGTGAGCTGTTACCGTTAATGTTGATTAATACTTGATGGAATAACTGTTTATAGGAGGAAATGGGTATACAGGGGCGTATTATGTAGAATCTTAATCTCGAACGAAGTTTCCGCGTGTAAATATTAATATCGGTAAACAATTTGAATTTATAATCGCTTGTTTTATTGTTCTAATTATCTCTGCTATTTACTCCTAGTTTTTAAATTTTACTTTGAAATCGGAATTATTTGTAGATTAACCTATTGCAACATTTAAGTAATAATACTGTAAATTATAAAACTTTCCCGAAACAAATTGTGCGTAATTGAAATTTAAAAATAAGTATAAACTGATAGATAAGAAAAATTAGTCTAAAAAAATGACATATTCTTTGCTTAACAAAACTGCTATAGACAATATTTACAAGTCTGTGAATTCTAACTATTACAAGCTTTTGTTTTATGGGTGTATCCTTCAGATTACTAGTATATTAAATTACTGACATGATCGATAATTGTCATCTAATTAATAATGAGCTTTCTTTGATCAGAAATATATAATATTTGACTTAAAAAAGAAGCTTTTATGTTGGAGTTATTGAATTTCAACTTCATCGAGTTTATTTTTTTTCCTCATAATAAAGAAGGGTTTACTCCAACGTTTGGATGAGGGAGTGGTCATTGGTGATGGAGGATTTGTGTTTGCTTTGGAGAAACGAGGTTATGTGAAAGCAGGACCTTGGACACCGGAAGCATGTGTCGAGAATCCAGGAGCTGGTAAGAATGTGTAGGAATATTCATAATAATGATTTTAACTTTTTTAATTGTTGATCACTTCTAAGAATTTTAGCTTAAATATTTTATAACCCTATTAATTTTTAATTAAAAAATACGATGCGTTACTGTCAACCAGTAGCATTTTTGAGAGCGTTTATAACGTAGTAAATACTTGTCATTAAAATGCCCATACCAGATTTTATGCCAGGGTTTTTGATATTTCACGCTTTTTTTTTTTTGTTTGTTTCTTAGTGAGTCAACTTCATAGAGAATTTCTAAGAGCTGGTTCAGATGTGATGCAAGCTTTCACATTTTATGCCAGTGATGATAAACTAGCAAACAGAGGAAATGAAGCTGGAAAAAAATTTACAGTAAGTATAGATTATGACTTTTAGATTTGGTGCTCCTAAGTTTGTTTGTTTTCATATATATATATATATATATATTCACACTTACTTTACCAGCTTTGCAGTTCTAATTATGTTTGAATGACGAGGTGCAAGACATGCTTCCAATCAAACAATTTACTTGATTTCTTCAGTGAATTATTTTCTTTTCTTCTTCTTTAGGTTTAAGTTTCTAAAGGACAGGTTGATGTGGGGTATGGTCCAAAAGGAATGATCCTCAATAAGGACATTTTAGTATCTTCTCACCTATGCCTTTCCTAGGGTGATGTCTTCCTGTATGTATCACAGCTAGTCCTGACAAAAGTTGTTAGCAATGAATAATAGAGAAGATGTATACTAGAGTTAGTTTTGGTGAGTAACATTTTTGCATCCCCATAATTTGCGATATGGGGTGAGTAAAAATAAAGACTAAAAGCTACAACTCAAATACTGGGTGAGAGAAAAATGCATCTCTATATTCTTCTGTTACTGCTTTTCAGGGGCGGGACATAAATAATGCAGCATGTAAACTTGCTCGAGAAGTGGCAGAAGAAGGTGATTGCCTTGTTGCAGGTGGACTTTCTCAAACTCCAACTTATCTGTCAGGCAAAAACAAAGGAGAGGTGCAGGAAGAATTTCGAAAACAGGTCAAAGTGTTCACTGAAAATGGAGTGGATTTTCTAATCTGTGAGGTATAGTACACTTAAGAATTTCTTTTATGCTGAATTATTTTGTAAATAAGAAGGCTTATGCTGTTCAGAAACGAACATCTCTATTAGATTTTCATTGCATTTTTTGGGTGTTATTGTAAAGATTTTGAAATATAGGTAAATCTTTCAGGTTTCTAAGCATCTAGAGAATGAAATAACCGGAAAAGAAAGTATCTTAATATTTTATCTTGGACATTGTTAAATACACCATTCTACATATACATAACATTTTGATAAATTACCATTTAAAGTATGAAGAAGGCTAAATTTCTGCTATATATGCTGTTTCCTAATGAATAATACATTGTTAGAAGTAATTTTTAAAGTTTAGATAAACATTCTAACATTTAGATAAACACTTAAATCTGAATTATTGTTTTCTCTTCTAACTTCTTTTGCCCCCCAGTGGCACAATTTTATGTCTGCAGACTTGCAATGCTAGAACTCGTGTTTCAATACCCATGGTGGGCAGAGAACAGCTAGCACATTGTGAAGCTTTGTGCTTAACTACAAACAAAGTAATTAACTAACTTCTTTCAAAAAAGAAATGCTACTCTATCTTTAGTTTGTATCTAGACAATGTACTCTTGTGGTCAGATGAATGTGGAAGAGATTTGTCTTGCTAGATTGCTATTTTAACGTGTTTACAAACTGGCTTCCTATATTATTTAAACAAATTCAGTTTCATAAATGAAGAGCTGTGACTAGTTTCAGTCTTAAACTTGTTTCTTGTAAAGGATTACTCAAATCTCTCTCTCTCTCTCTCAGTATTTTGAACATGTTGAAGAGATAGTATGGGCTATTGAAGTCTGCAAAGAGGCAAAGTTACCTGTGGCAGCTAACATGTGTATTGGTCCTGAGGGTGACCTTCACCACACATCATGTGGAGAATGTGCAGTAAAGATGGTTAAAGCAGGTACTTGTCTATTATTTGTGTTATTTCTTGTCTTGTAATGTTCTACCCACGTTTTAAGTTTACTCTATATAATCCTAAGCATGGTAGGTTTTGTTACATTATGTACTTTTAATAATCTTTGCCTGCTGCTGTCATCAAACATGACCATGTGATTTTCACCACAATGGTTCTTTTTTTCTGTATTTCTAAAATGTAAATGTGCTTCAAAACAAAATTATAATCTAATATTTGTCATCTAATCCTTTCCTTTTTTTTACTTTCTTGTCATGAAGGTGCTGATGTAGTAGGAGTCAATTGCCATTTTGACCCATTTGTATCTTTGGAAGCTATGAAACTTATGAAGAAAGCTCTGGATACTGAAGGACTCAAAGCTCACCTTATGTGTCAGCCTTTAGCATTTCTTACTCCTGATGCAGGAAAACAGGGATTTATTGACCTTCCAGAGTTTCCATTTGGTAATTTGATTATATCTTAACTAGAAACACAATTTCTAGAAATTCTAAGGTCGTTTAAAGTACAATTTTAATTATCTACTAAAAGCAGAAATTTTGTAAACTTTTTTTTTTTTCTTATTCTGTTTCTTTTTATAGACTAACTGCAATGTAAATATTTTGTAACTTCTTCAAACATAATCTAATTGTATTGAAAACAAACAAACAAACAAACAATAAGATTTCTTGCAACATGGCAGATGAATTTTTGATACAGTCTTTACTTAAAATATTGCCATGCTGATCTAGTTATTAAGATTTTTGTGTCATAAATTCACATTGATAGGCAGTGACCCAGATATTCCTAACATGGACCTTCATGAAGTACAACTTAACAGTTTGAATATCACTAATGCTTACCAACCATCTTAAGTTTTATGAGAGGTATAGACAATGCTTCAAATGGAGACTTAACAGTTTGAATATCACTAATGCTTACCAACCATCTTAAGTTTTATGAGAGGTATAGACAATGCTTCAAATGGAGACTGCATTACTAAAGCAAGAGTTGTATCTTCATGAAATATATTAACAAAGAATAAAAAAAAAAAAAAAAAAAAGACTTGATCATACCAACAAATGTGTATATCTATATATGTGCATGTATTTAATATAATTGTGTAACAATTATAAGTGCATGTTAATTACACTGAGATTTTCAGTTAACTCGCTTCTTTTAAATAAGGTAACATAATAGTAATGTTTTATTAATTGTGAGTGCTCTGTACTGTGATCAAAACATTTCAAAAGTCCAGCTGAGGTTTTGTTTTCCAGTACTACTTCATATTCTCAAATCTTTCACACCTCTACAATGCTCTTATTTATAGAGAGTACTTGTAATGCAGTGTGTAAAGTTAGTCATATAGAATGTCTTAAAATGGTGAATTATTTTCCAAGAGGAAGACTATGTGAGAAGGTTTCATAAATGTAATTAGTAGCAAATGAAATAAGTTATTTACTGTTTGATTCTATATCTAGCATTGGAACCCAGGATTTGTTCAAGGTGGGACATGCACCGTTTTGCTAGGGAAGCCTATAATCTTGGAATCCGTTACATTGGTGGATGTTGTGGTTTTGAACCATATCACATCCGTGCTGTTGCAGAAGAGCTTGCAGAAGAAAGGGGGAAGAAACCCATAGCATCGGTGAAACACGACATGTGGGGTGAAGGGCTGAGGATGCATACCAAACCTTGGGTTAGGGCAAGGTAATGTCCCTTGTATATCCTTAATTTATGGATAGATTTTGTGAGGGGAAAATTTTTTTCTATTTAACGTACTATGGGTTTTTAAATGAATTTTTCTTCTTATCTTTAGTTAGAAAACAATACTGTAATTAATCTTTCTCTCATTTTCTTTTTCAGAGCTCGTCGTAGTTACTGGGAGAAGATCAACCCTTCTTCTGGACGCCCCTATTCTGCTTCTTGTTCAAAACCTGACAACTGGGGTATTACAGCTGGGTCAAAAGAGTTGAAACAACATTCAGAGGGGACAACAATTGAAGAGCTTCAAGGGGTTTTCTCATATATAAAGGCTTAAATATTAATTTTGTTATAGTTCTTGCTAGATATTCAATTTTAAAAGTTTCAAAACTGTATGCATACTCTAAAAGTATAGAAAAGATGTACTCTAAGAAATGCTTAATGAAATTTATTTTAAATATATTTTATTATTTCATGTTTTTTTTCCCAATTGTATATATTGATCATACTAATTTTTTGTTTATTTTTAATTATTTCCAGTAAACTTGTTTGTTTGTCTGTACATGTATTAATCTTAATAAGTTAATATGTGTTCAGTTTGATTATCAAACGCTACTATACAAAATAAAATACATATCAGGAATTGCTTGCCAATGTATTTATTGAATGCAACTTTGAAGTTCATTTTATAAAGATTTCATTAAGTTATTCAAATTTGATGGCCCTGCTTGGCCAGGTGGTTGATGGCACTCAACTCGCAATCTGAGGGTCTCATGTTCGAATCCCCGTCACACCAAACATGCTCGCCCTTTCAGCATTGGGGGCGTTATAATTTTGCAGTCAATCCCACTATTCCTTGGTAAAAAGAGTAGCTCAAGAGATGGCGGTGGGTGGTGATTATTAGCTGCCTTCCCTCTAGTCTTCCACTGCTAGATTAGGGACAGCTAGCGCTGATAGGCCTCGTGTAGCTTTGTGCGAAATTCAAAACAAACAATGAAATTTGATATAAATGTTATATGAAACGCAACAATGTATTGTAAGTAGAAAACATGTAACGGTGACATGTTACGGTAATTAAGTACTTGCATCTATACATTTTATAGACTATAAAAAAAAAAAATTTAGCATATGTAAATTCATGCATTGATTAAAGATACATATAATTATATAGAACTAGGAATATAAATAAACGTAAGTCTAAAATGATTAAGGGCACAAATTTTTACAAGTAAATATAATCAATTGATCAGTTTGCGTATAAGTAATGGAGAACCAGTGCTAATCCCCCATTGGGACAGCGGTAAATATATGTGGATTTAGAACGCTAAAATCAGCGATTCGATTCCCCTCGGTGGACATAACATATAGCCTGATATGGCTTCGCTGTAACAAAACATACACACGCCAGTGCTAAAACAACAGAACTTTATTTTCGCGATTTATGGTTTAAATACCGCAAACACTAGAAACCAATACGCTATTCCTTTTAATTTGCCAATTTGAAATTCAACATGGAAGGCTTGTAAACATTGTATGAACAATATTTTTTGCAACTCTTAAGTCACTATCGGAAAAACCAATTTGTTTAATAACAAAACTCATTAGTTGGAATGGACAAGATGAAAGAGGTTATCTTTAGAAGGAAAAAAAAAAACGGACACATTGTCAATTTGGGTAATTAAAATATTATACTGCAAATACATTAAAGTTTCGGCCCAAGTTCGAGTAAAAACACAAGTTAGGGGCTTACTTTCCTTAGTGGTAGTGTTTATGAATTTTACTTTCCACAGATAATTTCATCTCATTCCGCCATATTTCTGTTCAATCCAAGTGAAGTGTTCAGAGCCAACAGTGGCACCACGCAAATCAAACTGTGTTTACCTGCAAGTGTGGCCAATTTCATAAGTAAAGTCTTTATATCCTGATCAAATTCTCATTCAAAAGGTGTCCTCAAACTGTGTTCTCAGTAATTTATTCACTATGTGTTGGCCAACACATACGAATGGCTTTGCAAATATTCACAATGTATAATATTAACATATACTAACTTACATATGCATGTTTCTAACTTCTACACATCTTTTGCACTAGTAGTTTTCAATAGATGACCTCAGGCGTGTTTGCCATTACACTAACCTATGTGGGCTACTTTCGTAAATTAACCAGTGTTAGTCATGACCCAGTTTTCCAAAATAAATTATTTCTGGTAGAACGTAGCGAATCTAGGCTATTCAGATAAAATTCCCATTGCCAGAAATAATGTTCATTGTCACTACCTTGTGCATGACTGCCTTCGAATCAACTTTGTAAAAGTACAATAGTCCATAATAAATAGGCATATACTGTATCAGAATAGCCACTAACAGCAGACCACTGGAAAACTGCGTGACGTTACACACTTGGTCTCTCACAAAAAAGCAAATATAAGCTACCTCGATGAAAAAAGGCCTATTCAACGGAAATTTGTTCATTGAACGCACTTTCTGCCCTTGAGAACACAACTCCCTCAGGATATATAGAATAGTCATACTTTAAGTGCGCATGTTTTCCTTATTAACAGCTATGCCACTTGCTCATAATAGCTGCCACTACTCTGATAAGGGAAGTGATTTTTAAAAAACTGTCTTACAATAAAAAATCATTCAGTTGCTCAGAAATAATAGGTTTCCTAGTCTTTTCGTCGTCGGTTTTCAAGTTTACAACTATCCTTGGAAAAATCGAATACTTACTGTAAAAAGACTGTCTCCACATTTTGTTAGACTAAGCCACTCTCGTTCACCCAGAAAGCAAGGGTCACAAAAAACTCTCATTTGCTGGTTTTTCAAACAAACAAAAGATCTGGATGTGATAATAGTGAAAATTCATAGGCAAAAGTTAAAATATTGTGTTGTGAAATATTCCCCAATAGCTCATAAAGCAACGCATCCTACCTCTTCCCCGTCATTGATATTCCAAACAAATGACTGTCCTAACTATGATAATCAAAATGTTTATACATTTTATCAAACAGTATTATCTGATAGACTGGAGGTCGAAAAGTCATTTCAGCTGTTGGTTTCTCAATCAAACAACTCTCCTAACTGTGATAATAGAGTGAAAAATCACACAAAGTAAATATCACTCAGTAATTGGGAAAGTAAGTATTATTGTTCTTTTCAGTCAGAAATTGCTTCCCATGTCTCAGTGGTCAATAATATTAATATAATGCGCTGCTGTGCACCTGAAATGGCTTGTATAAGTGCCTCATACTACATGATCCAACACTCAACTCTTCAACTTGAGCTGGCTTCACATTCTATTGCTTCATGGCAAAAACTTCCATATTAGTTTTGGGTCTATTAGTTGCTCTTCTCAGAGTTCTTGAGGAGAGGGGGTGAAATTTGGCATCCAATCACTAGAGAAACTGTTTACTGTGTGGCTCTGTATTGTGAAAGCTTAAATGGTGTTTATCTCAACTTGGTGTCCTATAACAAGATATTCAATGAACAAACATGGTCTTACTATATGGTGAGATAATTAGCCTGTGTTGCACTTATAGATAACGTGTTATGACCTTGTAGTACTTCTGCAACACTGTGATCCAACATATAGATATCCCTTCCAGATTTTGAATGTTTATGAGCCACTTCAGCATGATCCACCTTGAATGTGAACTTCCAACCATACAAGTAGTGTTGCTAGTGCTAGTGTTTACAACCACACACACTTCTCTCTACTTTGTGCAGAATATGTGTTTAGGACCAGTGAGGGTGTAGCTCGTATACACTCTCTCCTGTTCCTTCCCATCCGGAAACTTCTACCGCACTGCTCTGATTCCACAATCAATGGCATTGGTATCAAATAGGAACTCACAATTCTGACATAACTCACATAACTGATTCTGATAAATAATTGTAGCTCTTCCCAGCCAGATCTTCAGTCCAACAAATACATCAGAATATTTAGCCAGTAAGTCAGTTACTTCTGGTGTTGAATTGAAACTGATCCCGTAATCCTCAAATAGCAATTTCAGATGCACTGGTAACAGAATATTTGTTTTTAGACTCGGTATGGCAGCAGAAACACTAGCACTGAAGCTAACATCAATTACATCCACTTTGTTTGTCATCATGGTGATTATTCCAGTGGGAAGCTGATCATCCATTATCGCAGCGCAGCACCAGGACTTCATCCCTTAATGACTCTTTTTCCCACCAGGATCAACAGCTTGGCTATGTTGTGTCCCAGTCTCCAAGCTGTGTCTCTATCAGATACTCTACAACATAAAGGGCCAGAATATCCAAGCTCAAAATCAGGCATTGCATCACCTGTTCATGAAACCATCAATTATAGGCAATTACTTGCTTTAAAATCAGGCATTATATCACCTGTTCGGGAGACCATCATTTCTAGACATTGAATTGCTTTAAATGCCTCAGGAAATGATTCAAATCATTTTTGGCCGCCCCTTTAAGCATTGGTGGAGTGTACATGTGGTATCGGTTCAGTTCCTTCTCTGGTGGTATAATGAGGGTGCATTTAAAGAAGCAGAATATTGGATCCTACAGTTCCTGATATTGGGTGACTAAATGATTAAATGCTGGCTTCCCTACAAACCTTGGTGCCTTGAACGCTAGCCTTCTTTCTCAGATACTGTGGAGTTTTTCTGCTGCCCTCATTTCATCCTTCTCTGCCATAAGCACTAGCAGCATGACTAATGATACAACTAGCGCTGGAGGAGTTCACCACCAATGGTACCTTGCTCTTGACTCTTGTGATAACTGGGTGACTCTGTTCATGGAATGGCTCCCACCTATCCTATTAACCACCCTTGATACAGCTCCTTGTGGTGGCTGTCATCCATCAACAGCTTCTAAGTCCTTCACTCTCATCTTAGTGTCAAGTCACCTTGTGAGATGGTAACTTCTATTTTTTATGGTTGTGATTTTGTTTATCATTCCCTTATTATTCCTTCTATTGTTTTTGCTTATTTGTGGATTTTTAATTGCATTAAAAGGCTAACTCACCTTCTAGCTAATCATTTCTATTTTGAGTAAATATTTATGTATGACGAAACTTGCACCAGCTTTCCTAGCGGTGACGTACAGATACTATTAATGTAGCAGAAGATTATGTAAATTCATGATCACTTGAGATGTACTCTCATGACCTACTGGAGAAATAAATACTCTGCCATAAGAGAGAGAGAGAGAGAGTCACGATATAGTTAGCGAACGATATAGTTGGTAAATTATTGCTGTTAATCACTTGATATTGTTATTAATATTAAAATGTATTATTATGTTACTGTATCTTTTAGAATTAGGTTTTCTCTTTCTGATTCTTTTTCCTGATTTATTATTTGAAATAATATTGATATTTATGATATATTGTTCATTAACATTAGTGTCAAGTCCTGGCCAGACACGTGTTTATTAATTGTTTTGGTAAGTGTTGAATTTATTTCTAAGTTTTGTTATAGTTGAATAAATTGTTTTTTGTTGTTGAACCCTGATATCAACAGCAAAATGCTTCTGACTCATGGCAGAGTTGGACATCTACTCTCTACCACCTAACTGATCATCTACTTCTTGCACAAGGACCCACCTTCTCTAAACAGTTCATGCTGGTGAGTAGTATCCACCAGCTGCACCTTGTTTCTGG